AATATTTATATTCATATTTCCATTTATAAATTCTTATTCCTTAAAAATAAGAATATTTAATGCGACAAAAATTTTTATGTAAACTGTTTGACAAATGATTCAGATATATATAAAAATATTTAAATTTTTATACAAAAATAAGTGTGTTCTAGTAATTTTGATCCAATTATTTGTGCATTTTTATATTATAATTAATTAACAATTAATATAAAACATTTCAATAATTTAAAAAAGCATAACAAATTAACAAAAATATTTTATATTTATTGAATTTATTTTTAAATCAGTTTAAGACTTTTTAATGTATAATTATAAAATTTTACGAGTATTATTTGCAAAATTATTGTTAAATATTTATATTCTCGAGTGTAAACAATTCTTTATTCAATCTCTTTGTTGATAAATTATGTTTTGATTCACATATTCATTTTCTTTTTGAGTTATTTTAATCGAATCTTCCATAAACTCAGAAATCTAATATTTTCTAAGAAAATATATATAGAGAGATATGACGTTTGTAGTAACGCAGAAAAATTTACATAATTACAGTCATGTAGACATCTGTTACAAGCGTATCAAATTAGGAATAAGCACGCTCGCCTCGTTTGTTCCATATTATACGAAGAAGCACTACAGAAAATATACGGAATGAAATATAAAAGAACAAATACTGTCAATATAGAATTGAGAGATATACTTATTGTTAAGTAAAAAAGCAAAAAAGCAAAATTGGAATGTGAGTGTTCGCGAATTCATAAGAAACACCATGCAATGATGATCCTAAGGCATCGGAATACATTCATCCACCGCTACTTAAAGGCACGAGCCTGTTAATTTAGCACTATAATTTGCATACACCCGTATCAATTCTCCACAGCAAGATTCTCGCGTATTCAATGATCTATATGTATACTTTATATATGAAGTCCTGAAGCAAGTAAAATATTTTTCCCTCTACTTGCTTCTCCACCGTATGCGTGTCGATGGTTCAATTATGTATGACCTATTTTACAACTGTCGGAGTACTGTTTTCTATATCATTGATTATGACGTATACGTTTTTTCGCTTCATCTCGTCTTCGATCGCTTTGGGGAATCCCCTCTTTACTCATCTTTCACTCAATTTCCCATCGAAAAATTTTACATCATTTCCTTCAGCTTTCACGATTGTTCATCCCTGACTATTCTCGTCATCTCTTAACGGATGTGGAACTTATGAAGACTGCTGAAGATAGGATCAAAGAAAGGACCGAAACGTTCAAATTAAAACAAGTTTGTTGCGACTGGTCCTTTTCTACCTGAATTTGTACATAAAATATTTGTACACAAAAGATCTATATATTCTTTTTACGATACTTTAGATATACTGGAATGCATCTTTAAACATATGGGATCTTCTCTAATAAAGTTCCAAGATTTGCTCTGTTGCGACTGGTCCTTTTCTACCTGAATTTGTACATAAAATATTTGTACACAAAAGATCTATATATTCTTTTTACGATACTTTAGATATACTGGAATGTATCTTTAAACATATGGGATCTTCTCTAATAAAGTTCCAAGATTTGCTCCACACGAATTTTCAATTATTCCCTTACTCTCTTTAACTTTGATAGCGCCCTTGCATTATGTTTCCCTTACCACAATCGACTTGTTCGGGTTAATCTTAGGGGTCAACAGAGATCCCTTCGAGGGAATTTGCACCTACGATGCCAGAACTGTATATGCTCGCTAGAAAGTGCCGATAAATTTGCGTCTGGCTCAAGGAGCGGAAGACGATTACATCGTTTCACGTTAAGGTTCTTCAATGATCGTCCGCAGGAAACGAGAAGAAGGGGATATATCATCATCCACGTGTGTGGGGATTACCCGTTCACCCAGGCACTCCGCTCGTTTATACACTCGCCTCTTCTTCTTGCCGATCATCACCGGCAGGAAGCACGCGGCTTTTCCACGCTGCAGATATTCTACGGCGGTTTCGATCGAGACACCTCTTTCTTCATCGCGAACGGTTTCCGCGCAGGCAGAGCCCCTTCGATGGGAACCTCGTGAGATTTCGCACCGTTCTGTCGGAGTGATATTACCCATTCGCTGGAGTTTTTGCTCGAATATCATTTCCGGACGCGTTTTGTGCCTGGAAACGGAGCTTCTACGAACGTCCGTCGAACAGAACGGACTTGTCATTCCGTGAAATAAATATATACGAGAGAAGAAAAAATGTGATCAGATATTACACGGGAGAGAACGGTTATTTTAGGAGTCCTCCTCAATTTAATAAATGGGTTTGATAGATTTTTTGTCGAGAAAAAGAACGTTACAAATTACGCGATGTGTTACGATTTCCAGATATCAATGTTTAAATACTTTATTTAATATTAAAATTTAGAAATTTTTTGCAAAAGATTTTTTATCAATTTTTTAATATAACAAATTTTAAGTCAATCAGAAATGGGATTAAGTTAGAATTTTTTCGGGATGAGAATGCAGGAGGAAAAATCTCTAAATATATTCTTTCTTAAATATATATAAGTATAGTATCATCAATTATATTATGGTGAAAATATTACTGTTATTGTCATTTTTAAAAATCGATATCTCGAAATCTATGGATTGTAGGACATTATATGGTCTGCGACATTCTTTTTGTGATAAAAAATTCTATGAAAATATCCTATTAAGGTTCCGGAAATAACATTCTTAGCATTATACGCTTCTGATATATCTTTTCCCGTAATTTTTTTCCAGGATTAATATGCAATTAAGGAAACGAGCGCGTTAAATAGCGCGAAAATTAATATCGATAAATCTCGTAGTTCATATTCTTTTATTTCAACTCTTTCCGAGCGACAGGATTAATTTAAAAGACCGCATGAGAACCTGCGATACGGGATACCGATTACGATCTAAAGTATCATAAAGTTTGTTAAGTCTACGATGTAGATCTCTTGGACAATCTTGCGTTATTTAATAATAATTAATTCTCGTTTCTTTCTGTGTTTCGGCTTGATAATTACATATCATAGAAATGTAATTTCGCGACTTTTTTTCTCCTTGTGATTTTATTTCGAGAGAAAGAGTTCCCTCTTTTTCGTTTTTCAAAAACAATGACATTTCGCGATTGATCATTGATTATTATTGATTTTTTACATAATTTAAATTTTAACTATATTTTTTTATTTGACTAATTCACGCTTAAATAAACATATATGTATATGCATTTATGGAAATTCCATTAATTTTCTTTTTATGAATATTATTCGAAATATTCAAACAAATTAAAGAAAATATAAATATGATGTTTTCTAAATCAGCCAAAAAATATTTATTTCTGAAATTAAAGAAAGTTGTATCATCTGGGTTTCATTTTGCGGCGATATATCTGCGATATTATCATTGCTTCCCCGATTGGAAATTTAATGATTTGAGATACGCAGAGAGTGCGACGAACACTCTTTCCGTGCTCTTTCCTACGATTCCGTTTTGCTACCTCGCGGCAAGATCCGCCCATTTGATATTTATAAATGCTATTTTATTATCGGCCTTCTCGGCAAAATTATCCGGAGGTCTGATGATTCGCGCTTCGTGGATTACGTTTGTAGACTCGAATTATTTGATTACTGAAATTTACTTTCAGGTTGTAAAACCGAACGGTGCTTTTTACAATCTATGGACTTTTCCTAGTATTTATTTTTTCGTTCGTCAGAATCTTTCAATCTCTCTTTGGTGCGCGATCACTTCGATATTCATAAATCGAAATATCCATAATCATATTGTCACTAAATGGTTTTAGTTTATTAGAATTAATAGGTGAAGTGTGATTTAATAAGTAGTTTGAAAAACCTGAGTGATTTAAAAGAAGTATTCACGAGTAAGTAATGTGTAATTTTTAATATATGTATAATATAATCGTTAACATGATCTAATTGTTAATTTAATGAAGAGCCCAGGTCTCGTGCCTTATGTTTGATCTATGTAATACGTCTATGCTTTCTTTATGGTTTTTCTTTGTCAGTATGCTGTAAAATAAAACATTTTTTGTTGCGTGTAAAAATATATGTAATGTAAAATAAATGTAAAAATAAATTTCATTTTATTTGCATTTTTATAAAATAGAAATATCTGACACTGATCATTTTTCGGGGTTTCTCCTATTTAAAAATTTTTAAGCGTCCTACAAATAAACGGGAAATTCGTAAAATGAGAGAATACTATTTTTTCAATGCAGTTTCTCACGCACTTACTTGGAATAAAATCGCTATATTACGAAGTACTTTTGTAGCTTTGAGGTACAGAATCTCGTCGTGCGGGAGGAATGCATCGTGAAAGGTGGAAAAGTGTAGGGACGATCGAAAGGATTGCAAACGGCCTTAATTACAGCGCCGGCGCTTTTTTTCCCGCGCTATCCTTTCTTCTTTGCAAATTAGTCATGCATTATGCCATCGTAATTTAACGGGCGTGGTTTAACGTGGATTAAGAACAATATCGTTTTTTCCTTTGAAATTTCCTTGCCATTTGCGAATAATGCTGACCAGCTGACATAATTCACATTTTTGTTTGGTATCAGTGCAACATTAATAAGAAGATAATATCATGGTGATTTGTATAAAATACCTAATTAACTCGTGTGTGATTCTTGATAAATAAATAGAGAAAGAGAGAGAGAGAGATTGCAAGAGAGTATAAACGAATTGCACTTTAGACATGCCATTAAGTTGGAACAATTCTACAATTCGACAGAATCATGGCAGCAAATAAAAAAATGCTTCTTACTAATTAATATTGAACTTAAGAAATATATAGAGAAGAAAAAATATGATTATACAAAGTAAGAATTAAATCGAGATGTCAATTAGCAATAATTTCTGATATAAAACATATAATAATAATTTTTAATATAAAATATAATGCATATAAAAAATTCAAGATGTAATAATTTATAAGAAATTTAAGTACCAAATTTTATGAATAAAAAATATATTCATACTTTTTCTCTTCTAATTAGAAATTTATTAAATATTTTCTTTATCTTTTTCAGCTTCGTAAACTGCTCTGCTAGGGATTACTTCACCTATCTCTCTATGTGACTTTCTGACTCGCTCAAGCACGCGTTATTTAGTCTAAAATTACTTATAATACGATATTTAGCATAATTTTTAATTACTCATTTATCTAACTTTAACGCTTTTTATTAAGCCTTTTTATATCGATCCGCAAGTTGAATTGCATTCTTTAGGATCGAGGACATATGTCCTACAAGTTAGGCACATATTTTTAAGGCACCACATTTTAATTCTTCTCATAACAAACTGGGAATGTACATTGTCTGGCTATAAAGTTTAGAACTAATTTTATAAAACATGCCCCAACAGCGTCACTTATCTTTTGCCACTTAAAATCTTTTGTATTAATCTTCAACTATACTTCTAAGTGTTATCAATATTGATTCAGTGCAGTTCATGTTTGAATTTTGTTTTTAGTAGAGATAGTCCTAAAACTTTATAGCCAGATCATGTATGTCCAAATCTTTCAACTGAGCTTATTAAAAATTCGTAATTATCAAAACCTATTATCATATAGAAAACTGTGTTCACCATTTTGAGCAAAAGATTCGCCAATTTTTCAAATATAAGATTTACCTTCACGAACAAATCGCTCCCTTGTTTATCCTCAAATTCCATCTTCATATTGGCTCGCAAACATTTTGAAGAATCCTTTATTTCGTATACTGCAGTTTTGAATTAATCTTGGAAACGAATGATTGGAAGTGAAACTTTTCCGAAAACTTTCGCTCTTTTAACTTTCCCCAAGTTTTTCGTTGTTTCCTGTTGTAGAACTTGCAACCGCGAATCGACACATCCTTTAACTGCGACCTAGTCGCAGTTGGTAACGGTTAACGTGATTGCCAGGACTCAGGTATTATTACCGGGTGAGAGTGGCGGCGAGTTTGCCTCCCTCTGTTCCTCTTGCACACTTTCCGGCCTGCTGGCCGTGCTGCTCGACCTCGAGCTGAGATTGTCCCGGTCGCTGAAGTACGACGAGTCACCTCGTTTCTCCTCCAGCTGGAGTTGCTGCTTGTCATTCCTGAAATCGTCGGTGGGGTGGCTCAGTAGACCGGGTAAGTACGATATGGCCTGTCGCGAGGTGATCTTTCCCATGAAATTGCGGATCTCTTCGAAATAGGAATCGTCGGTTCTCGAAAGCTGACCTGAGTGGTACCTCGATCTGACTTCATCCAGTATTGTAGGCCCATCCGCGTCGTGTTTCTTCAGATGCCGGTCCAGATTGGTCTGTTGGCCGAAGCATCTCTCACAGAGTGGACACTTGAAGGGTTTCTCCTTATTGTGGATATTCCTGACGTGACGCTGGAGATTGCTCGAGATGCTGAAACTTCTCTCGCAATACTTACACTTGTACGGCTGTTCGCCCGTGTGGGTTCTCAAGTGTCTCGTTAAATTCGCCGACCTCGGGAAGACTTTGCCGCAGAATTTGCACTGATATCTGTCTTTGCTCTTTTGACTGGTTTGCATGATCGAGTAAGGTGACAGACTCGAGCCTTGCTGTTGCGGTTGTTGCTGCTGCTGCTGTTGCTGTTGATGCTGCTGTTGTTGCTGCTGTTGCGAGGTATGAGTCTGCTGTTGATGTTGCTGCTGATGATGTTGACCGCCAATAGGACTGACAGTTCTTGCCGTAGGTTGCAAAGAAGGAGTAGTGGACGACGAGAATCTGTTGGATGGCAGAGGTACCATCGTAGGCAACGCTCTGACCTGGATTTTCGGCAGATCGGGCACCGGCGAATTGTGATGATGCGACCTGTACATCTCCAGGACTAGCGGGTGTACCGCATGATGCTGGGGGAAGAGCACCGTGTGATAGGGCAGACCACCGCTCAGACTGTTCTGATTTAACACCTCGATCTCGTTCTGATTCTCGTCTCTGAGTCGTTCCTTTTTGTGATCGACGCGAAGATCGAGCGGCTCACTGTCCTGATCGTCCTGATGGTGCGGCTGGGGTGGTCTTGCGGCGGGACTCATGTGTGGCTGTTGCTGATTCGTCGGGCTCGATAGGCCACGGCCGTGACCATGACTGAGGTCGTACGGCAATTCCTCGACGTCCGGCACGCGGACGCTCAAGGGATAAATACTGGCTTGCTTTGGGCTTATGTGGCCCGGCATCTTTCTCGGACTCGAGTCCTTCTCCCGCATGGCTGGAGGATACTTCGGGTCGTGCAGCAACGTCGGGGGCAGGATGATGCTACCGAGGTATCCGCTCATCACACTGCTTCTGTCACCCGGTCTTGCTCCTGCTCTTCGCTGGGGATAATCTGGAACATCAAATATTAAGCGTTTGTCATTAGCATTAACAAAGTCTCGGGGAAATTATTTTTTTATCTTAGATTAGTTCACAGGTAATGCATTATATCTAAAAAATAAATATAGAGTGGAAGAGAAAGATGAATGGAATTTATGAGAGATATTTTAGACTTTATTTTGATAGATTTTGACAAAAAAAAATATGAAGTATCGTATATACTCATTTTTGATAATCTTATCTTAATAATTTTCTGAATAAAATAATGAGATAAATTAATTGATGTAAGAAAACTATATAGTTTAGAGAAAAAATATGCAGTTGCACATTGCAAATTGCAAATTTTTTAAAATTATAAAAGTATGTTTTTCTTAATTAATTAATTTTATTATGTAGAAAATTATTAAGATAAGATTATCGAAAAATATGTAGAGTATACGAGGTATTTTATTTTTTTGCCAAAATGTAGCATAAAATCAGAATTTTTCATTCTAACAATTTTTTTACGTCAAATATTACGGGAAATTCGATTGTGTAAGAAAATTATGATGGTTCCTTTTAAAAAATAATGATAATCACGAAATCAAAAATGTCTTTACCAGGAATAAGATTATCGAAATTCTACTTTTGTATAAAATATTTTTCGATAGAAGTCTTGGTTTTCAAAAAATAGTAATGCGTTATTTAAAATGGGACACTCTGTACATACAGAATGTGCTTTATAACGTTGCATGGTATCATCAAGAAAATAGTTATTTTTTATAAAAATAAATAAATTTATATATACTTTGCTATCATCAGAAGAAAATGAGCATTCTACAGTCTATTAAATAGTGAGAATATATAATTATATTAACAAAGTATACAAACTATATAAAATAATTATATATGTTCTGATCTATTTAAACATGATAATATTGTACGTTAAAAATATAAGAGTTTACTTTAAACGTAATATTCCTCAGTTGAGCAACAATAACAAATTCAAGGTTAACAAGCGACAAAAGAAAAAAAGAAATGAAAACTATGTTGAGCAACGCAGACGCGCGTAAAACAAATTTTACGATCACGCCCGCGATTACGACATCCGAGAACTGTCAGTCAAAAATAATTGAATATACCAATCGTGGCATCACCGTCAGATAGACACCGATTATTAGAGATACGTATCGCGTAACACCAAATCGGCCGGTTGACAAGCGAGTCTCGCCGCTCTTGAGCTTCATAAATCATCAAAAACCTATCGTGTGCTCGGCCATCTTTCTTCTACCGCTTGTGATAGATCAGATTGCGAGCCGAGAAAGGAGAGAATAAAAGAAGCACTTATAGGACCACTAGAAAACGACGCGATTTGAAAACATTAGTGAAAGGATCTCTTTTTTTCCTTTCTCTATCGACATCATCGTTATCGATCGCAGCCGCGAAAGAGGCGGTGAAAGACAAGAAGAGATAATGGAAGAGAGAGAGAGAGAGAGGCAACGCAACGGGACTCGATAAATCAAGGCATCAATCGCGTTGTGATAAATGTGTCTTCGGCCCGAGGCTATACGGCGAGGATTTTAGAAGCCGAAGAAATCGATCTTCCGCGAACAAATCGAACTGCTCGCATTTTTACTACTTGACGTCAGACACGTCGGGGCTAGAAAAAAAATATATAGCTGGAGTAGAAACACCTGCCAGATACGTAAGATGTGTCTATCAGATTTTTGCTATCGCGCGTATTATGGATCATTGAATCTCTTTCTCTCTCCTTGTATAGTCTATCTCTTCATTTTTAAATGCTTCTCCATTTCGTTCCGGCACGTGCTTGCGAACTCTGTAGCGCCTGCTAATTGACAGAATTTTATTAATGGATCACCATCATACGCGTAATTAATTCTATTCGAAGGTTTCTTCGTTTTGCTCGTCAGCGAACAAACTTCTCTCCGCAAGTTCTTCCGCGATATATAATGAAATAACGATATCTATAATATCCAATTAATATTTGTAATAAAGAGAGAATCGTTTAATATTGTTCAATTTATTTTGGTGTATATATATATATATATTCTATCTCTGTCATACATGTAAATATCTTGTTAAACGGAATTCTTCCGGGCCTTGTTTATTAACAAATAAATTTTTTCTATCGTAAATAATCTAAAAGTATGCAAATATACTCGTAGTTTTCGGCACCAAACACAGGGACGACTGTGATAAATTGTTAAACGAGTATTTAGGCGTCTATGCAGAAATATCCTGATAAAATAATTTTTTCGGGTCTTGTTTCTGGATGAATAATTTGTTTTCTATCATAATCTCAAGACATATGGAGATATAACATATTTTAGAAAGGAAATAAGATTTGCAATGGAGTAAAAAATAAGTATATAAAGAAAGATAAAAAAATAAAATCAAAGAAAAAATATTTGCATTAATATTAAATTAAATATAATTCCAAATATAAATATATTATAATAAAAATAATTTATAAGATTTATTGTAAAATATCTAAATTATATATAGATTTCAAGGAAATAATAATTATTTTTTAACTCTTCTGTTTGTTTCTGTTCTTTGCTCATCTATAAATATTAACATCCACGAATATTAATTTAATCTAACACATTTCAACTCGGATTATTTAATTTACGAAGAAGAAAAAAAATAGAACATTTTTTGCTGATTACGCGTTTTGAAGATCACTATTATAACTCAGCTGACAATATGACCCAGCTGTTGAGATCAGCATGTTCTTGCGAGCATTGATGTCTTTATTTGCGCATGGTGGAAAAACGAGTATATATGTTATCTACAATCGCCACGTGTTATCGTGCTTAAACGTAGAAAAGTGAAATGCTTCTGTTACAAATTGCGGACATATCTTTACTTGTCGTAATTACATATCGTTCGATTTTCTGAGAAAGAGAATATGTATGTGTACTGAAATATAAAGCATAATATAAATCACAACGATCAAATATATGGAATTTAACGAAACGAAAGAAACAATGGAAAATATTAATTAATAAATTAATATAAACATCAAAATTATCATATTAGAAAAAAGAAGGAAAAAGTTACATTTTTTATATAAATTATTTTCTAATTAATAATTATATAAAATATGTATTTGAATAATGATCGATTAAATAAATTCAAGCAGTTTGTGTTACATTAAATTATTAAAATATAAGCTATGTAAAAAAGAAAGAATTCTTTATTGCAAAATAGATTATAACGAGAGACAAATTTTATTCCGATTCATACTTGTAAATTATCGATACGCAATTTGAAAATCAAAATACACAATTTAAAGAATCTCTTATATTATAGATATAAGATGCAAGCAATGCATCAATTATTATCCCTATTATTATATTATTATATAATTGTTATTATTATTTTTATATACCTATCATTGGGCATAAATATAACTAGATTCTCATAAATTCTGCGATTATTTATCGATTGATGGCTCTGCCTGTACCATTTTGCGCTCGAGATCCAGTTACAAACCAGAAGCTAATCCACTCTTTGCCCGCAGTTGTGTCCACTCTGGCGAAAGAGAAACTCCGCAATGTGTTGTCAGTGGGAAGGCGGAAAAAGAGTGGCGACGCGCGTAAAAGGAGCGGACGCTCGTGCAAAAAGCCACGCTTCGTCCGACGATAATAGTGAAAAGCGTTAATTATGGATGGAGGATGCCTTGACTTAACTGGCGAACGAAGTCGAAAGTGTGCGCATGCAGGTATACACGACGATTATTTTTTTTTGCTCGCGTTGCAGAAAATGCGCCGCGTTTTCGCGCGTCCCCGAAGAAAGTGATAGTAGTAGAGCGTGTGTCGTCCGGCATGAGATCCGGTCGATTAAGCTCGATTTACATGTACTTTCCCTTGTGTGTTCGCTCGTGTAATAATACTCTCCGAACGGAGAGAAACTTTCCCGCAGCGGACTCGAGCAAACGCATCCTCCAGCGACGACGCCTTCTACCGAAGGAAAAAAAGGGAATTCGGGAAGAAACGAAAACTTAATCATATGCTTGGAATATGTTTTGGGTCTTTATTAAGTCAATAATTGTGCTTTCCAATGTAGATGTTTGTATATATTTAAAACATGCAGATTGGAGTCCTTAGGCATCTTTAGGACATTTTAAAGATGTCTAGTGTTACTTTTAAACTTAATCATATGCTTGGAATATGTTTTGGGTCTTCATTAAGTCAATAATTGTGCTTTCCAATGTAGATGTTTGTATATATTTAAAACATGCAGATTGGAGTCTTTAGATATCTTTAGGACATTTTAAAGATGTCTAGTGTTACTTTTAAATTTAATCATATGCTTGGAATATGTTTTGGGTCTTCATTAAGTCAATAATTGTGCTTTCCAATGTAGATGTTTGTATATATTTAAAACATGCAGATTGGAGTCTTTAGGCGTCTTTAGGACATTTTAAAGATGTCTAGTGTTATTTTTCTGGACGATCGAAAAATGCCCATTTTAAGGAGATACTGACTGACATAGTCAGTATTCTCTTAAGGACTAAATATTGAACGTACTTTTTAAAATAGGTGTAGGTAAAGTATTGTATATATCTAGTATTTTATACAGCATCAAAAGATTGCAGAAATGTTGCAGACATTCAAGAGAAATAAGAAAAAATTCGTCGAAACTGTGATCATTCTGCTTATATCCATAATGCTCGGATATCCGGTTACTTTAATCTTAATAGTCACTTTTTTGCAAGCTTCATATATAATTCTCATAACAAATCTTAAATACGAGAGAGATAGCACATTGTGTGTCATAGCAATAAATAAAGGAATTAACGATTACTAAATACTGATTTTTTATAATATTTTTGCAATACTGTAACATTTTTCATGAAATATTATAGTTACATGTTCTTATAATATCTCCCCAATTACAATTCGTAAAATTATAACATTGCTGCAATATAATTGAAATGTTTTCTGTTGTATGAGTACGTAAAATAAAGATTTTTAAACTAAATATAAATATATTTTGCTATAATTA